AACCATATTAATAGTGTTAAAAAATTCAAATAATTTCTATTGAATAAGCAGCAGACCAAGGGGGATGATATTTTGCCCGTAATATGCTAGGATGAAGGGCTACCAAGATTGTTCTATTGCAATACTTTGACCGATATTTAACGTCGCAGGGGTCTAATGTGTTAAACAAACACTTTAACTATTTATTTGGTCGCTAGTATCGTCCTGGACTACGAGTTATCAACGTTCAAAAGAATGACATTGCCCCATATTCAAGGTCAAAATGAATAAGAAGCATAGGTTGGTGAAATGCCAACTAGCATGCTTGGGTGAAGGGCTATAAAGTCTGTGGAAATGTATAACCATTACCAACATTCAATGTCAAATGTGTGAAAACCTTTAAATGAACATTTCTGACTATCAAAGAAATCTAGGATAATGATATTTGGCCAGAAACATTCTGGGTGAAGGGTTATACAATTTTGTTCAAATTAATAACCTTGATCAATTTACGTAGTGAGAGTATGTTACTTTGTGTAAGCAACTTCTGAACCAGCAAAAAACACGCATACTATGATAATGGGCTGAGAAGTTTATTCAAATAATTGATCTTGACCTAATGTTAAGGTCATATGTTTTTAATTCGGTAAAATGTTGATTTGACTTCTGATTAAAAAAACGAGGCCGGCTTATATTCATGATATTCTGTAATGTCGGTTAATGGTTGAAATAAATATGGATTTGATTCTATTTTACTTCAGGTCCTAACAACAGCTAAAGTTATTTAAGGACGTGCCTCCGTGTATGTTGTGTAAGCGTTCATGTGTGTAGTTGTGTCGGAGGGTAAATTGATGTCTTTTAAATCAGCATGTGGTAAAAGTGGATAAATGGATATAACAACCATCATCATCATTTATTTTTTCAAATCTCCCCAAAAAGATTCACAAAGATACGTTATGTGTAGAGCAATACTACTTTCGAAGAAAACCCAACAAATGCGTATCTTGTTTTAGCAATTGCAAAGGTTCATTATGCTCTGTATGAATTGTATAAAAACCGGTTCGGTTGACAAATTCTAAATAACATTCCAGGTGAGATATCAGGGCCCATGGACCTCGATTTTCTTGTTCAGAACGTCCTGTTGCTTTAAGCGGTTTTTTTAACAACCAGTATTAATGGACATGTATTCGCATGTACAATGCATGTGTGTGTGTTGGAGGCGGAAGGTGTTGTTTCTGATGTCTTGTGATAGCGTAGACCTGAAGACTACACTCAGTATTCCACCCGAGTAATACAGGTACCGATAAGGATATACTGACCTTATAATTAAACTGGAATCAGACGGCCGACTGCGGTGTGATGCTTCTATCGATCGTCTGATTCCAGTTTAATTATAAGGTCAGTATATCCTTATCGGTACCTGTATAGATGCCTTGTATAATCCATTGCGCATGGTTACAGTGAGGTCGTCGCTGGACCACCGACTGACCTTAATGGACACCGCATGGCCTTTATTATGTCGATTATAGAACAGCTAATTACATGTTTCTACACTACCGGATCGCCATGTTATTTCCTTATCAATAGGTAACCATGGTAACAACTCATCTGCTAAACAACAAATGACTCAAAGGAACATTGCATTCGCGAGAAATTTGAGTCTGAATGTTATTTCATTTGCAAGGAATTATCGCCATGGAAATAAAACAGTTTGCTGGTATTATCTACCTGGCTAAAATGTGATTTTGATTTACTTACGACACAACCTTATAGCGTCATTTTCCATTTGGTTCGTCGAAATACTAAGGACGTTGCAAGTTGTAATGGGTAAGTTATCATTATTTTGAAGAATTCGTCTTTTTCAAATGGTTGTGCCAAAAAAACATGACATAATCATGCCAAGCGTTTGGTTCGATGATGATTTCATTCGTAATAAATAATCAAATGTGTTATGAGGATAAGTTTATCACTGATGAGTCCTGGAAATAGCTGTTTGGTGTAGTGTAATTCATATTTGTATGCTGTATCTATATTCAGTGCTGCAATCACCTGTGTGTGTCCTTTACTATTTTTGTAATGCCCGATATGACTTTAACGTTGCTTGGCCGTTCAGCAATTAACTAACCTGTGTGTGTGCTACGACCGTCTTTCAAGGTAAAAGGTTGTAGACTCTGCTGGTGGGTTCGTACTCTCCCATGTTTGCTATAATCGCGATAGTCACGGTTGGTGGGTTCGTACTCTCCCATGTTTGCTATAATCTCGATAGTCACGGTTGGTGAGTTCGTACTCTTCCATGTTTGCTATAATCTCGATAGTCACGGTTGGTGGTTTCGTACTCTACCATTTTTGCTATAATCTCGATAGTCACGGTTCTTTGGTTCGTACTCTCCCATGTTTGCTATAATCTCGATAGTCATGGTTGGTGGGTTCGTACTCTCCCATGTTTGCTATAATCTCGATGGTCACGGTTCATGGGTTCGTACTCTCCCATGTTTGCTATAATCTCGATAGTCACGGTTGGTGGGTTCGTACTCTCCCATGTTTGCTATAATCCCGATAGTCAGGGTTCGTGAGTTCGTACTCTCCCATGTTTGCTATAATCTCGATAGTCACGGTTGGAGGGTTCGTACTCTCCCATGTTTGCTATAATCCCGATAGTCACGGTTCGTGGGTTCGTACTCTCCTATGTTTGCTATAATCTCGATAGTCACGGTTGTTGGGTTCGTACTCTCCCATGTTTGCTATAATCTCGATAGTCACGGTTCGTGGGTTCGTACTCTCCTATGTTTGCTATAATCTCGATAGTCACGGTTGTTGAGTTCGTACTCTCGCATGTTTGCTATAATATCGATAGTCACGGTTGATGGGTTCGTACTCTCGCATGTTTGCTATAATCTCGATAGTCACGGCTCGTGGGTTCGTACTCCCCCATGTTTGCTATAATCTCGATAGTCACGGTTGTTGGGTTCGTACTCTCGCATGTTTGCTATAATATCGATAGTCACGGTTGTTGGGTTAGTACTCTCGCATGTTTGCTATAATATCGATAGTCACGGTTGGTGGGTGTGTACTTTCGCATGTTTGCTATAATCTCGATAGTCACGGTTGGTGGGTGCGTACTCTCGCATGTTTGCTATAATCTCGATAGTCACAGTTGGTGGGTTCGTACTCTCCCATGTTTGCTATAATCTTGATAGTCACGGTTGGTGGGTGCGTACTCTCGCATGTTTGCTATAATCTCGATAGTCACGGTTCGTGGGTTCGTACTCTCCTATGTTTGCTATAATCTCGATAGTCACGGTTGTTGGGTTCGTGCTGCCCCATGTTTGCTATAATCGCGATAGTCACGGTTGGTGGGTTCGTGCTGTCCCATGTTTGCTATAATCGCGATAGTCACGGTTGGTGGTTTCGTGCTGTCCCATGTTTGCTATAATCTCGATAGTCACTAATTTCTATTGAGAAGTTGCATGGTTCATATTTCTCAAACTCTACTTATCTTCTGGTTTAAAAGTACTCCCCTGCTTTGAGAAATTTATAAAAAAAAATGATTTCAATGAGTCGGAATTGTGATTGTGCCACATGTTGGTATATATTTTCGCTGAACCATCGTACTGTTGTTAACTGATACATTTATTAAATTGGTTTAAGAGACCACAGAGTGTCCCTACCAAGTTAACAACTGTAAAATTTAAAAGATCAACTTCAGTCCGTCACAATGTGACATAGTGTATGCATGGAGTTTACTAGCCAGAAAACAAATATATGTGAAATATTAAACTAAATCGAGTAGTGCGAAACCCTGCTTTACCACTATCAATGCAAAACTCACTTGTAAGATTTGATCGATCACGCACCCGCAAATGCATAAAGATGGGTTACAATACAAGGGGATTTTTGCTGTCCTCATTTAAAACAAAGTAAAAAACTAAACGAAAGAAATGTTAGTAACCGTTACACTTGTATGTACAAAAACAACTGCCATGCAGAAAAAAAAATCAAAAATGTAGGGCAATGGATTTAAACTGTTATATCTAGAGAATGGGCATCATCACATTTCTTTTTTTTGTCATAATAAAAAAATCGGGCGCTATTATTTTTGTTTAATTTTACGCAAATCACGGTTCGGTTTTATTTCCGGAAAATTCTGCCTTACATAATAACTTACCATAGCCTTTTTCTAATTTTAGTTGTCTTTTTATCTTTTTGTTTGTTTGATGCCCATTTAATTTTGCGTGTTTTATCTACATTTTATTAGTCTTTAAAACCTCTCCCCTGCAGGTCGAGAATGGAGAAAAGAATATGTAACGTAAGAGGCGATTTATGAGGAACCTGCATGCAGAGATAAGGATTTACTTTTGTTACCTCAGGTCCGGGGAAAATAATAGGTCTGTTGTGTCCCAGTGCATGTGTATTGCACACAGTGATACAGTGTAACAATGGGGCCCCCTACATAATTTGGGGCCTTTATCATGTCTTCTACAAAGGGGACATTTAAGACACCAAATTTGATCTGCTACCCCCATTGCAACACTTGGGATCTTACTCGTTTCATATCTGTTCTGTCTTCTTTCTTTTTCATCTTATTTGGCGGTGTCTCCCTAGGCACCTGCCCTAATATGACCGTGTTTGACGAAGCGACCGAAATAAATCTGCTGCGCCAACTGCAATAGTTTGGATCTTTATATTGTCTCTACTTCTTACTATCTTTTATTTCCTAGCGTGTTGCTTGGCAATACCTCACTTCTGCTGGCTTTCATGTTGAGCGTTCGCCCAGGTGAGAAAGACAATTTGTTCTGAATGCCGGGATTTACTAAAGTCCCTATGGAAGTTGTTACATCCTTCTTAACGTTCAGCGTTTAGGTTATGGCAACAAATGATTCACCCATTGTCAGTATAACGTAACCGGGCAGAAAACTGTGCTGGGTAACTTCGGCATGGTTTGTCGGTGAGATAGCGCTATCACAAGGAGGCAAGTACACCAGCAAACCCTGTCTCCTGTACACAAACATGCATGCACGCTGACACAACACACATTGTAATGTCCAACACCTTTGTTTTTTCTTCAAAAACACCTTTATTTTTCCTAATTACAAACTTCCCTGGGGAAGGTAGAAAGCTGAAATACAAATACAAACAAGTATTAAGAAATATTGAAATACGCATTAACATTCCAAACATTCCATGAATACATGCTATCAAGGTTCCGAAACATCCTACATATAATTACATAATAACCGTGTCCTGAATGTATTTTAAGAATGATGTAAGTTTACATACAAATGATACAATGCTTTATGAACATGGTATAATGCTTTGTCTCTAAGGCCATACTATCATTCCCTTTTTGCTTATTTGGCAAAACAACTTATTACATACATCACATCGATAAGTTTCGTACTCTATCATAACGTGCACAACGAAATGTGTCTACACACAAAATCCTGACATTATGATAGTACATCCGATTATAGGTCATAGCCAAATGGATGAAATCGTATCTACATACAATATAAATTCACAATATCATGGAGAGGGGAATAAACTTACTCTGTGGGGGCCTTAATTTTCCTATTAGGTTCTTAAACCTTGTCCAAGTTTGCCGTACAGGCGCCATATTCCTTGTTCTACTCAAAGAGCATGCTGGGAAATCCGAAAGTGAAAGTAAACCTATCTACTTGAAACGTGTGACAAGGGAGGTAAATCCTATACTTATCGTAAAACTTCTAGATAATTGATGCGTTTACTTAACACACTGAAACTGAAACACGACATTCCCCGCCTGAGTTGATATTATCAACTCACCACACAATATTATAACAGATTGTCCTACAGGTTTCCAAATAAAACATGAAAAGTTCCGAGTCATTCCGAACACAAATACACTAATTGCGTAATTGGACGTATGTATGTCACTGGTACAGTGCCTCGCATCACACGAACTGATGCCTTCCGCACTAGTCCATCTGAACTGGGAAATACTCTCTCAACAAGACCGACTGGCCATTGATTGCGAGGGACACTAGAATCCATCATGAGAACAACCTCTCCAACTTCCAAATTCCTTCGTTCCTGCTGCCATTTCATCCTCAACTGAAGGTTTTGAAGGTACTGACTACTCCACCTATTCCAGAACTGATCAGCCAGTACCTGGACATGCCGCCATTGGGATTTGTACATATCTTTGATACCAAGTTCTTCAAATGGTTCTTCATCCTCATTTACTTTCTGGGTGATGAGCGCGCTCGGAGAAAGAATGGTAGGTGAATCTGGGTCACTAGAAACTGAAGTAATAGGTCTGCTGTTAATGATGGCACACACCTCTGCCATAAGTGTACACAACACTTCATGGGTAAGTTGTTTCCCTTGAACCTCACAAAGCATTGAGTCCAGAATTCTCCTAACAAGACCTATCATCCTTTCCCAGGCACCACCCATGTGTGACGCATGAGGAGGGTTAAACTTCCACACGACCTTGTGATGAACAAGAAAGCTTCCAATGTCCTGATCCTCTATGTTTATGGTGTTCATGCCAAGTTCACCTGTTGCTCCAACAAAGTTGGTTCCGCAGTCCGACCTAAATTCCCTGACAGGTCCTCGAAGTGATATGAATCTACGTAGGGAATTGATAAAGGAAGACGAGCTAAGCTCTTCCACAACTTCGATATGTATTCCTCGTGTGACGAGACAGGAGAACATGATAGCCCACCGTTTGGAATTGGCGATTCCTCCACGAGTACGACGTGTAGTTACGGACCAGGGACCAAAGGTATCGACTCCTACGTATGTGAACGGAGGGCTTGGGGTCAGACGATCCGATGGAAGATCAGACATTTTCTGGTGTTCCACCTTTCCTCTAAGTTTCTTACAGTTTACACACGCATGGAGAACAGAGTTGATTAAACGCTTCCCTCCTGTTATCCAATATCCAGCAGAGCGGATCGCACCCTCTGTGAGATGTCGTCCTTGATGATGAAGTTCTTCGTGATAATGTCTGACTAATAATTTAGCAACATGGTGACTTCCTGGAATTATAATAGGTGTTTTCTCCCCGGTCTCTAGCTTAGTGTTTTTGAGACGCCCGCCTACCCTTAACAAGCCGTTCTTATCCAGTACAGGTGAGAAGGTCAATAAACTGCTCGTTTTTGGAAGAAGCTTGTTTCCTTGTAGACAATGCAACTCGCTTGAATACATTTCCCTTTGTACTTCCTTCAATACTAGTAGTTCTGCTTCTTTACGTAAGTCCACGTTGTTCCGGGTGTCCAAATTGTCACACTTGTGGTGTGATGCTGCCGTTTGTTTGAGTCGTGAAATTGCTGATGTCAACCTTGTCCAAGAAGAGAACCTCTGAAAACGATTGTCACCGAGCCTCTCTGTAGTCACTAGTGCTGACGTCTTGAGGACATCTACCTTAGGTTGAATTTCCTTGTCCTGATCTGGATCGACTAGATCAAATGTTTTCTTTTCAGCGTCCTTGTCAAGAAAGGCGACTGGGCCTTTGAACCACTTACTATTGCGAAGATCGGATGCCTTCACTGGTCTTGTAGCCTGATCCGCAGGATTAGCAGTGGTAGGTACATAATTCCACTGTGCACTTGAGGACGACCTTAGGATTCTATTGACTCTGTTACTGACGTACACATGGAATCGTCGGGTTTTATTGTTGACATAACCCAAAACGACCTGACTGTCTGTGTAGAAATATGTAGCGTCTAATGAAACTGCTAAGTGTTTTGTTATGAAGTCTGACAGCTCAGTGGCCAGTACCGCTGCACACAATTCCAGTCTGGGAATGGTGTGTCCGTGTCTTGGCGCAACCTTGGATTTGCCAAGCACAAAACCAAGGCTCGAGTCACCGCTGGCATCATAGACCTTTAAATATCCTACAGTCCCAATGGCCTCCTTTGACGCGTCAGAAAACATGTGCAGTTCACGTCGCACACCCTCTTCTAGAGATATTTCTGTACAAATCCTTGGTATCTTCAGAGTTTCGAGATCTTTAAGTGACCTTTTCCATTCATCCCAGTGGGAACCTTCAACATTGTAGGGTAAAACTTCATCCCAACCAATGTCATTGTTGTGAATAGCCTCTCTCATTAACAGTCTTCCACCGAGTACAACGGGGGCCACAAACCCGAGAGGATCAAATATACTGTGTACTGTCGATAGTAAACCTCTCTTAGTGTAGGGCTTATCATCCTCTGAAACCTTGTAAGTAAAGATGTCTCTTGTGACATCCCAGCTTAATCCTAGACTCCTATGAACACTAGAAGTCCCTGTGGTGAAGTCCAACTCTGACATATTCTCCGCTAAGTCACTCAATGGGAAACTTGCGACGACATTTGCATTGTTAGAAATAATCTTATGCAGTCGAATATTTCCGCCTTGTTTCAGTCTTTCCTGTGTCTGCTTTACGAGATTCACTATATCCTCCTCATGTTGACGTGACACGAGGGCATCATCCACATAGAAATTTTCTCTCACATAATTGCAAACCTCATCGCAACGACTGCGATTTTCCTCGTGATCACACACTGCTTTGCGTAGCCCATGTGTAGCGACAGCTGGGGATGGTGAGTTGCCGAAAACGTGTACACGCATCCTGTATTCTGTGATTTCCCTCGCTGGGTCATTGTCCCTAAACCAAAGAAAGCGTAGCATGTTACGATGTTCTTCATGTACCTCGAAGTTGAAGAACATTTGTTCTACGTCTGCAGTTACAGCAATCCTTTCCTTTCGAAATTTCAACAGAACCCCAACCAGATTGTTGGTCAAATCTGGGCCTGTCAACAAGACATCATTTAACGATAAACCCTGGTACTTAGCCGAGGAATCGAAAACCACGCGGACTTTAGACGGTTTCTGAGGGTTATACACCCCAAAGATCGGTAAATACCAATGTTCTTCTTCCTCCCTTACATGTAGGGCCTCCTCTGCGTGCTTGTTATCGAATATTTTCTTCATGAACTGGACAAAATGTTCTTGTTTAACTGGGTCACGCTTCAAACTCTTCACGAGGTTTTCAGCTCTCTGCCGAGCCTGCTGATAGTTGTTCGGTAGCCTCTTACGACCCTTACGGAAAGGTAGTGGGGCACTCCAATTTCCATTAACTGACCTTGTAAATCCTTTCTTCATTATCCTTGAGAATTCTCTGTCCTCTTGGGATAAACCAATCTCCTCGTCATGCAGAGTTGTCTGGAATACATCCGAGTTCATATGCTCGTCCCTTAACTCGAAATTATCAGGGCATGGCTTCAACACAGACTCCCGACCATGGTCTTGTAAAACATGAGTCTTGTTAACACTCACAACATCCGAGGTGTGGACTTTTCCTAAACATGTTTCGCCAATGATCACCCAGCCTAAGCGGAGCTTTTGTGCGTATGGCTCGTCGTCTGATCCTATTCGCTGGTCAAGTATGTGATGAGCAGCAATCATGTCCCTGCCGATTAAAAGCAAGATCTGTGCTTCAGGGTCATATTCTGGTATGAATTGTTCTATATCATTAAGATGCTTATGATGCCTAGCCACTGCGGGGGTGGGAATTTCCTGTCGCTCATTGGGAATTTCATCGCACTCAATAAGAGTTGGACACCGGAGACTACAAGTTTGGTCCAAGGATTGGATGGTGTACCCTGTAGCACGCCTTCCAGACGTTGTCACTGTTCCAGCACATGATGACAATATATACTCCGTCTCACCGGAATTTTCATTGAAGTGTTGAAAGAATTCAGAACGGGCCAGCGAACGATTGCTTTGATCGTCTATTATGGCGTAAGCCTTTAGAGCTTCCTCCGGACGTCCGTTAGGGAAGACTTGAATGAGTATAGTTTTAGCACAGGATTTCCCTTTGAAGCTATTGGAGGTTCCACAGATCTGTGTACATTTATTCAACACTTTTGAATTGGTTCTAGGTGACTCACATTTCCTGTCCGATTCCCCGCCATGACTTGAGTCAGGTTCACAATGAAATGCAGTGCAGTGAGAGGCACTACCGCAGTTACCACATTTTATGTTTTGTGTACAATCCTTAGCCAGGTGCTTCCCTACACAACATTTAAAACATATTCCATACTTCAGTATAACATCCTTTTTCTCCGGGATTGACTTTGCCTGAAATGTTTTACAGTCTTTCAGGTTGTGTGCCGCCTTTTCTCCGTGGATCGGACAGGTATTCTCTAGATCTGTAGAGTTCTGATTTACCACATCCGTCTTCCTTGTAGAAAGCGTAAACTTAGTGTTAGAAGCATGAGCACTGCTACTGGAAACCTTTTTGTTGTTTGCAAAGGCCTTTACTGGTGTGGCTGAAACAGGTTCAAATTTGAAGCTGGGGTCATTCATCCTGCTGGCCATACTCCTGACAAATTCAGCAAATAACGTAAATGGTGGATAGAGTACGCCATGTTCTCTCTTATATCTCAAAGCACGATCTGTCCATTTTCCTTGCATGAAGCCTGGGAGTTTGTTTACAATGGGGTTGACCCCAGCTGACGAGTCCAAGTAAGCTAGGGATGAAGAGTAAAGCTCATCAAGCTTTAAAGATTCCAACTCTGTGAGAAGATCTGAGAGTTCATATATCTTCACACAGTCTTTATTGGCCAGTTTTGGAAGATTTTCAAGTCTTTGATGAAACGCTTGTACCACCAACTCTGGGGCTCCATACCGTTCATTAAGTCTGTCCCATATTTTTCTCACAGCCTCTGCCTCATTAGAATAGTTAGCAGCTCTCAAACTGTTGGCCTGTATGGATGATGCTGGGCCAAGCCACCGACATAATAAGTCTAATTCCTCAGGAGGGTTTACCTCTAGCTCTTTAGAGATGTTCATGAAACTTGACTTCCACACAAAATACCTCTCTGACCTGTCATTGAACTGGGAGAGTCGAGATAAAATCAAGTCCTTTTTCATGATGTATTTTGTAAGTTCTGTAACTCCTGGTGATTGGGTTGAGGTATGTGAATATCAGGGGGTATATGGTATTCCTGGCCATGTCTTGGACGGAATGGCCATGTTTCTGGGTTAAACTGAGTCCCAATATCGAGCTCACTTGCACTTGGAACAATGGAAAAGTGTCTGTGTACCTTTGGGGTTCTTTGTAAGCTAAATGTATGGGCAGTATCCTCAGGTTGCTGATCAGGTGTCACTGGAGATAAATCTGCTACATACTGTTCAGTACGCTGTTCCGATATTACTTTTAGATCCCCATCTTCAGACTTGTCGTCAAATAAAACCATGTCCTTCATTACCCCGAGTTCAGCCTCTGCCTCCTTTAAATCCCTCTTTGATTCAAGCAATTTTAAACGTACCTTAATGTCTTCACTTTCTTTCTGCTGTTCAGCTTGCTGTCTAAGAATAGCTGCTTCTTCCTCAGCAAACTGCCATCTTACCCTTGCAGCTTCCGTTTTAACCCTCTGGTTCATCAAAACTGAGGTTGCTGTTGAACTTGATGTTCTACTTGAATGGTGGGACCTAGACCTCAATGACATCACCTGCGAAGGAGCCTTTAAGCCTTTTGATATGTTTGTTTTAGCCTTCTCGTCATCCTTTACTTTATGTTCATGTCCTGTGACATATGGAGAGGTTTGATAAACCTTTTCATCTGAAGTTGAAGTATGCACGGTTTTTTGTTGATGTAAGCCTTGAATTGTTAGGTCTATCCTATCCAAAACACTTCTCGATATGAGTTGTTGGGAGGCCAACTCATTGTAACTCTCTCTCGTTCTTGTCCTCTCCAAAAATCCCATAAATCTCTCTACTTTAGGTTCATAACAATCTCTAGCCTTGATAAGCTTTTGCCTTAAATGTTCAGTGTCTTGCCCTTGATCTGTCTCTTTGCCTATCTCTGTGATGATCTGATCTATTTCTCTACGTAACACAGATAGTGTACTGCTAGATGATCCAACAAATTGTTGATAATTTGGTTGTGCCTTTTCTGCGAGTTTTCGGATGCGGGGGCCTTCCACTCCTAATTTCATACTGTCCATGTCGACAGACTTTCTACTGTAATGTCCAACACCTTTGTTTTTCTTCAAAAACACCTTTATTTTTCCTAATTACAAACTTCCCTGGGGAAGGTAGAAAGCTGAAATACAAATACAAACAAGTATTAAGAAATATTGAAATACGCATTAACATTCCAAACATTCCATGAATACATGCTATCAAGGTTCCGAAACATCCTACATATAATTACATAATAACCGTGTCCTGAATGTATTTTAAGAATGATGTAAGTTTACATACAAATGATACAATGCTTTATGAACATGGTATAATGCTTTGTCTCTAAGGCCATACTATCATTCCCTTTTTGCTTATTTGGCAAAACAACTTATTACATACATCACATCGATAAGTTTCGTACTCTATCATAACGTGCACAACGAAATGTGTCTACACACAAAATCCTGACATTATGATAGTACATCCGATTATAGGTCATAGCCAAATGGATGAAATCGTATCTACATACAATATAAATTCACAATATCATGGAGAGGGGAATAAACTTACTCTGTGGGGGCCTTAATTTTCCTATTAGGTTCTTAAACCTTGTCCAAGTTTGCCGTACAGGCGCCATATTCCTTGTTCTACTCAAAGAGCATGCAGGGAAATCCGAAAGTGAAAGTAAACCTATCTACTTGAAACGTGTGACAAGGGAGGTAAATCCTATACTTATCGTAAAACTTCTAGATAATTGATGCGTTTACTTAACACACTGAAACTGAAACACGACACACATGAAGGCACGTCCTTATATGACCTTAGCTGCTAATAAGACGTTAAACACATTTTTTAACAATCGGAATTTTTTTAGGTTCCCCTCTATATGTAAATGTGAAGGTGTCCATGTTTATTTTTGAGACTGTTCGGATAAACAAAATCGCTGACAGTGGGCCATCGTGAATTTTGACAGAAAGTACTAGACGGATCTTTCTCAAATTTTATACATGCGCTCCACTTTGTCCCTTGTTCAAAATACCCCTGGCTATAATGAGAATTCATCACGCATTGACATTACTTCTTAATATGACAGACAGGCGCGGATTTAGGGGGGGGGGGGCACAACTTGCAACGCTCGGCGGAAATATACTAGCATAAGTTGCATAATTATATTATTGACCGCTCGTTATAGATGATCTGAAAATTAATACCTTTATTGTAACCTTCCTAATCGTCCAGGCGATATTAATCATATCATTATACAAGAACGATAAAGGTTTTTTTCGGCTGACAATATTATGTATAATCGACTTAACATATCCATTCAATTATTTTGGTATTATATATACATAATTATTGTTGGAACTGTTTAACTATCTTGTATGTACAACATAATATCTCATTGTGGTACTTACAGCTTACCATCGTGTACGTAGAAGAAAGTATCTTCACATAGCATACTATTGTGTACGTAGTAATAAGTTGTACGTACCAGAATGAGATGATATGCTGTACTTACAAGTATGATAATTTTAAATTAAATTTAAAGGTGACGCGTATGTGCCTCCTAAGTTGTAGCATTTTAGCCTGATAGCTTAGCAAATGAACCACCTATGATAATTTGCACGCCCTTACATGAGTTAATCAGCGTGGACATTTCAGATATCATTGTCTACACATATCATTGTCTACAATAGTGAATTAGTCAACAATTATAAAACGCGAGACTATATCAGGGGCGGGTCCAGGTGAGGGCGTAATGGGCGTACGCCCCCCCCTTTCCAAAAAAAAAAAGATTTTTTTTTATCGTTATCTGCTAATATTGTATTGAATATGGCAATTTATCATATTCATAAATTAAAGACATACTCTGATAAAAAAAAATGTCAAACAATGACACTTCAACTATAAAATATACATGCTCCAAGTCAGGAACCGTTACATTAGTGCATTTCACAATTATTTTATGTTTTTTAGCAAAAAAAAGGTCCAAAACTTTTTTTCCCTCGCTCCGCCCGGCGACAAATTTTCTTTCAAATATCCTAGAAACGCCCCTGTATATAGCTAGTGGCCTTGGTTGTCGCACTGATTTGAACTTACCGTTTGTTTAGCAACTTAGTGATGCCATGAGTAACTCATTAATTAAACAGCAACGATGTTATGGTGTTATTTGTTCTTTTGTACAACAAACGTTCAATGTCTGAAGACTAGATTTTTATTTTGACGGTGGACCTCTCGTACCTCCTTGCGGGCGGGACGCCAAATTCGGTAATAATGAACAGGCCCCCTGTGGATTCATACATTTGTCATCACCAGGTTGCCCCTATAATAATACCATCTGACTTCTAAAACACACTGTTGATAGAGAATTTGAACCGAAACTTTAATTTTCTTTCCAGTACACAAAAAAAGTCTCTGGGCCATACTTAAAATATGTTTTTTTCTTCTTGTTAATTAAACGTATAAACAATCCTCAGAACACGGAAAATCGCTTCTGAGACGTTCTAGAAAACACATTTTTTGGGGGGAGATCCACCATACCCCCCTTACGGGGAGGGGGTCTGTACCCTCCCACTCCTCGCGCTACGCGCTCGGGCTGCTGCCTTTCGCAGCACACTGTTGACTATTGACAAAAAATTATCGCCCCCCCCCCTTTTAGGAAATCCTGGTTCCGCCCCTGACAGATGTACAATTTATAGCATTTTGCATATAATTATGCAACATATAGTTTGCCAAAATGGCAAAATACAAATGATAATACAAGGTTGAAGTTAATGTACATTGTACAATATTTCCATCAGTATTTCAAATATGGGACTAGGTAATAATGCCTGTAGAGAAAATAAAGAATAACGAAGATAAAATATAACGTTTTGAAGATTTGATAAAGATCCTTTAACGGTGAGCGCCAAAATTCTTCAAGGATCTTTTTTTTTCTACGGAGAAAATTTAAACCAACGCATATCTACCTGTGTTTTATCGATGTCATCTATTTGATTTAAAATGTCTCACGTTTAATCAATGACTGTTGTGGTGTATCTTTTAAAAAAAGGTATTAGTTTATAATCAATAGGTGGAAGCAAATAAGCCGCTTTTGCGGTTAGATCTGCCTACTTATTACCTGTTATAACCTGAACCCAACATCATTTTACAGAGCATGATGTTGAATTATCAAATGGCAAATCACGCTGTCTTGCTACCACCTGTTGATTTTAAACTTCATTTTACAGATTTTACTACGGTATAACCAATTTTGTAAGTTTAAAGTAGCAAAATAATTTGAATCGGTGCGTAGACAACCCATTACATCTCGTAAAACCTAAAATCGGTGAATTGTATACTAGCTATATAAAAAAAACTGTCGAGAAGGGGTTGTCCTTGCCCGTCTCCGGGTCGTTTATTAATTACCCATATCATGTATGAAGTGCGAAGACCAGCATAAATGCTCAGCAGGTCAAGAACCATTACAGTGAATCAATTGTTGATATATTACATTGTCCTTGAGTTAAATATTTTTCAAAATAATGTAACGCATCATAAACCTCTTTTCGAAATAGTAAAAAGCTGTATTATTTTGGGCTACCTACAAACTGTTGGTTGGTTCAAAAAGATATAACAAGCCCTACCCACTTTTATCGTTGAAGTTGATGTTTGTCTTTAACTGCTTCGTTCGTTTGCTATTTCCTACTTACAGTTGTGTGATCGCACAACGCACCAAAAATAGCGTGCGCACACCGTGCATACATCGTTCACACACCGTCCGCACATCGTCCACACATGGTGCGCACAACTGTGCGATTTAACAATCGTTCGCCCCGTTGTGCGCTTCTCTCCGCGTATGGAACACTGTATATATTAATTGCTCATCAAATTAATTATAATTATGTTTAATTGTACAATGCGTGTAACAGTGGCCGTTAGACTGTCAAGAATTGGTTTAGCTCCCAGGTAACAGAACAGATAAATAACATTTTGATGATTGACCGGAGTTTTACCTGGCCTGTGCCTGATAAAGACAGCTGATATGTGATACCGTATGACCGTTATGAAATCACAACTGGACGTGAAATATTTGTTATTTGCATTCGTTTTGGTCTATAGCACCCCTTCAAATGGATTTTCACACCTAGGCGGGTTACGTAAATGGCCCGGGTAGGGGACACTACGGTCCAGGTACAGGTTCAAATTGGCTATGTTTACCTGTATACGTGACCGTGTCAATACATGCATGTGTTATGTTACATATGTAAATTTGGATCGTTTAAAAAACACCGAAAACACCATTTCTAAATTCAAGAAAATAAAGATAGAAAGATCAGCTTATATTTGAAGCTAGAATTTAGAAATATACTTAAAAATCAAGTGAATATGTTTAAACACGAAGCCGTATTTATTGTTAAGCCACTTCTCATCCTTTGTCCTCACAAATGAGCGCAATCAATAATCGTCCAGATTTGAATCGTTCGCACACCGTGAACACATCGTGCACGTTCCGTGCGCACATCGCTCGCACACCGCACATCGTGTAACTTTGTGCATTCCCACAACTGTATCTGGTATAACCTGAACCCAACATCATTTTACAGAGCATTACCAGATAATGAAATGGTAAATCACGCTGTCTTGCTACCACCTGTTGATTCTAAACTTCATTTTACAGATTGTACACCGGTAATAACGAATTTTGTAAGGTTAAAGTAGCACAATAATTTGAATCGGTGCGTAGACAACCCATTACATCTTGTAAAACCTTAAATCGGTGAATTGTATACTAGCTATATAGAAAACTGTCGAGAAGGGGTTGTCCTTGCCCGTCTCTGGGTCGTTTATTAATTACCCATCCTTATTTATGAAGTGCGAAGACCAGCATAAATGCTCAGCATGTCAAGAACCATTACAGTGAATCAATTGTTGATATATTACATTGTCCTTGAGTTAAATATTTTTCAAAATAATGTAACGCATCATAAACCTCTTTTCGAAATAGTAAAAAGCTGTATTATTTTGGGCTACCTACACACTGTTGGTTGGTTCAAAAAGATATAACAAGCCCTACCCACTTTTATCTTTGAAGTTGATGTTTGTCTTTAACTGCTTCGTTCGTTTAATATTTTCTTGTTACAGTTGTGTGACCGCACAACGCACCAAAAATAGCGTGCGCACACTGTGCATACATCGTTCACACATGGTGCGCACAACTGTGCGATTTAACAATCGTTTGCCCCGGTGTGCGCTTCCCTCCGCACAACTGTGCGATTTGGTATCATTTGTAGATCAAAATTACGGAATGACGAAAATACGATTATGTACACTTTGTGTGTATATGTAATTTCCCATCACAATAATCATGATTATACAATTGCACAATGCGGGTTAAACAGTATTACAGCGACCGTTAGGCTGTCAAGAATGGGTTGGCTCCAAGGTAACCGAACAGGTAAATAAAAATTTGATGAGTGTCCGGGGTTTTACATGACCAGTGCCTGACACACACAGCTGATATGCGATACCGTATGACCGTAATGAATAGTATTTGTTATTTGCATTCGTTTGCCTATAGCTTCCATTCACTTTGATTTTCACACCCCCGGCCTTACCCGACGAGTTACGTTAGTGCCCCAGGCGGGGGAAAAACTACGGTCCAGGTACAGTGTACATGTACAAAGTGGTTATGTTTACCTGTAAACGGGATTGTGTTGTAATTTTACATGTGTCGATTAAGTTTGTTTAAAAACACCGAAAACACAATTTCTAAATATAAGAATTTATAGACAGAAAAATAAGTTTATATATGTAGCTAGAATATGGAATCATACGTAAAAATCAAGTTTATCTGTTTAAACACGAAACCGTATAAATTGTTAAGGCATTCCTCAATTTATACCAACCACGAATGTTATCGCACAACGTTCGTCCATCATGTGCACGCAATGATCGTCCAGCTTTTTATCGTTCGCCCATCGCGCACACACCGTTCACACACTGTTCACACTCCGTGCGCACATCGTGTAACGTTGTGCAATCCCACAACTGTATTATTAGTCCTACTGGCCCCTTTCCTAAAATCCTAAACAAACTCCTAAGACTAGTAAGTGTCACCTTTTTATGGGGGAGGGTGAAATATATTAATGTAATAAAATTGAGCATGGATCATTAATAAGTATAGGCAACAAGACGAAATATCATACCTCTTAATATGTTATTTTTCTTTTGTATTTGTTGCAGGAAAATCAATCAAGATAGCAGTCGTTGGACAATGTATGACTCTCTCACTCATAGGCCTTTCTGTAGTGATTTTTATTTTTGTTTGCCATACAAAACTTATCTTACCTAAGTTTAAACTGTTTCATAGACAGTCCTATCGAGTTCAGGGTAGTAGTGTTCAACCACAGTTCAAAACGGATTCCTTCTCTAGTACTTATTTCAAACAGAAAAACTTCTCTCCGTTAGCAAACGTGGTCAAACAAGCAGGACACGACGGGGAACAGACGTTATCAATTTAGTCTTAAGTTTACAACTACAATGCAAACAATCGTGAGCAAACGAAACTTCAATCAAAAGCAGAAAATTGTTCATACTACAGCGCAGATCAGAGAAAACCACCAAACGATAGAAAATATTACTTCAGTACATTCTCTGCAAAAAATGACCCCAGAGTACACCACTGGTAAGAAAAAGCCTGGTTTACCGAAAGATCCTTTGACAACTACAGAAAAGTGGACGGATCAAACTGTACAAGACACAGGGGACCAACGATTTCTCGTGTTTCGATATCTTGGTAGGTTTGGCAATGTTATGTTCATATATGCATCATGTTATAGTCTTGCTCTCAAACACAATCGAACGCTATTTATGTCTAAAACAGACAAAATATACCAACCATTTGCAAATATACCATCACCACGGACACCAGATAAAAAGCGTTGTAAAGGCAAAGAAGTAACTTTTAAACAAAAACGGTCCAGATACTATGAGAATTTAAACTTATCAGAAACAAACGCCTCCTGTGTGAGAATCGATGGTTTTCTTCAATCATGGAAATATTTTGAAGATTATTTCGATGATATTCGATATCAGTTCATGTGGAAGACTTCTGTCAGAGAAAAGGCTCTACAGACTATAAAGACACTAAAAAATCAAACATGGCCGGATATCCCTTCTTCAAATATAACAACTGTAGGTATCCACGTTCGCCGCGGTGATTACGTTACATCAAAACGCCCAATGGCAGATCGCGCATATTTTGAATCTGCAAAAGAGTATTTTCTTAAGAATTTTTCGAATGTTCTTTTTATTGCTATAACATCGCCAAACAAAAACGACCGAGCTTGGTGTGTAGATAACATACAAAATGGAAGTGGCGTGACCGTGATTGCAGGATCCAGGGACAAATTCGTTGACATGGCACTACTGTCCATGACGGATCACGTCATTATATCAACCGGGACGTTTGGATGGTGGGCTGAATTTCTGAACAAAGGGAGAGTACTCCATTTTGACTGGATCCCTGTGAATCATAGTCGGTTTAACAGAGATGATTATATTTTACCCCACTGGATTGGGGTTAAAGCCGTTAACAGTTTTAAAAATAATGTGTCTATCTTTCAAACTGTTCCATTATAATGAGGCAATTGTAATAGTCCATGAGCCAAGCGCAGAAATATAGTTTTAAAGAAAAAAATCAAAATCTAGTCGTCGCAACTTTTGAAATATGTTTTTATTTTATCATTTTTTATTTCAGAGCTGACTTTCAAAGAATTGTAAAATCATAATTTGGTCGGTATAAAAACTATATTTCTATGTATCAGGTTCAAAATATTAAAAGGATTATGATAATATTTAGCCGGAAATAACCAAGAACATTTTCTTTACCCAAAACATTATATAAATATATCGCCGTTTGATTATAGATTGAAAACGAAATGTCTCTTCTAAGTTTAAAGAAATATTTGTTTCTAGTATATGGAGAATTTACTTGATGAATAAATCTTATTTACAAACGTGATGGGTTGGTGTTGTGTGTCTCCTGTTAAGGACCACTGACGAAACCGTTATCGAACTTTTCTTGTGGCACCTGTCTACTCTCTATTCGGTAATCTTTACCTCGGTAACCTTAGCTGTAAACAAGAGGCAAACGTGCAGCTTTTTAGATAAGGGCAACGACTGGTTTACCCGATGTAATATGTATTGCTTTTCTATCTCACATCGAAATTCCCGTATCAATAAGCACTTCAAATATCACAATTAATAAGAAATTGAAAATCAAATATTGGTTGGTTATAACCTTATAATGATAAGGTTCCTTGTCTGTCACTACCTGACGATCGATGGCGAGATGTTTTCTAGCTAAAACATATTTACTTCAGGCTCAAAATAATACGCCTCAAATTTGTATCACAAAAACGTTGGTTAAGTTTGGTTAGTCCAAGTGAAATACCCATTTGTCTTATTCTAAAACACAGTCTTATTTTATTGGGCGTGGTCCCGTCAGCACAATATATCGTTCTTCGACAGAAAACAACAATAAAACATCACAACATTAAATCAAAAGAAAAGTGTTTAAGTCTTATTTCCCGCTAGCGTATACGTTATCAGTACATATACAGCTGTAAATTTCACGAATTCACCGACTTCTATCATGTGACATCTTGTTGTGATACACGTTACGGGAGATGATCATATTTCAACCTTTCATGTATGGCAATCAGATCATCATTTGTTACTTGGCGACGTTGACAGTAATGCAGCATATACACATTTGTCCTTGAATTACAAAATCTCGAGTTGTGAAGGCTATATCTGATAATGTAAACAGACTTTGAGGACAGCATGTTGGCGAATGAAGTACTATAATATGTTGATGGTGATACGATTACCACGTCTTTTTATGTAAAAAATGCCAATAATATAATTTTACATGCAATCAAGAGTATGATAACCACAACAAAGAAGTTTGACGGGCTCAAATGAATTTGGAAATGTACTCGAAATGAACATGGTTTCAAATGTATATCGACGTCGTATTTGCATTTCACCGAGACTATTCACTGAACACTTATACACAAAATATCATATTGCCAATGACGTAAACAAGTGATTTATATTGCACACAACATACACGAGATTATATATGATCATTGTTCATGTCAACAGTTTCTTAGTCTAATTCACATTTTGGTCATGTTGTACGTCATCTGAACACCTTTCTCATCCACGAGTAGAGTCTGAAACATAAAACAGATATAAAACGTAAAGTAACGTTTACTTTAAGTCAATGTTTATACAGCAAAATATCTCGAAAAAATGCGAAGCTTTGTTATATTTGTCAAAGTGAATTTACGCTGTGGTTTGTTTGTCCAAATAGGTTTACACTATGTAATATGTGCCCATGTGTGTTGACGCTGTTGTATATTTGTCAATTAAGGTTGACGCTGTGATATATGTGACTATGTGGATTGCCGCTGTGGTGTGTTTGTTTGTCCAAGTGTGTTTACGCTGTGGTATATGTGCCAATGTGTGTTGACGCTGTGGAATATGTGACAATGTGGATTGACGCTGTGGTATGTTTGTTTATCCAAGTGTGCTGACGCTGTTGTATATTTGTCCATGCGTGTTGAGGCTGTGGTATATTTTCTATGTGTGTTGACACTGTGGTATATTTGTCCATGCGTGTTGACGCTGTGGTATATTTGTCCATTCGTGTTGAGGCTGTGGTATATTTTCCAAGTGTGTTGACGCTGTGGTATATTTTCCATGTGTGTTGCCCCTGTGGTATATTTTCCGTGTGTGTTGACGCTGTGGTATATTGTCCGTGTTTGTTGACGCTGTGGTATATGTTCCATGTGCGTTGACGCTGTTGTACCTTTGTCGATGTGTTTTGACGCTGTGGTATATTTTCCATGTGTGTTGACGCTTTGATATATTTGTCCATGCGTGTTGACGCTGTGGTATATTTTCCATGTGTGTTGACGCTTTGATATATTTGTCCATGCGTGTTGACGCTGTGGTATATTTGTCCATTCGTGTTGAGGCTGTGGTATATTTTTCATGTGTGTTGACGCTGTGGTATATTTTCAATGTGTGTTGCCCCTGTGGGATATTTTCCGTGTGTGTTGACGCTGTGGTATATTGTCCATGTGTGGTGACGCTTTGGTATATTTTCCAGGTGTGTGGACTCTGTGGTAAATTTTCCATGTTTGTCGACGCTTTGGTATATTTTCCATGTGTGTTGACGCTGTGGTATATGTTCCATTTGTGTTGACGCTGTTGTACCTTTGTCGACGTGTTTTGACGCTGTGGTATATTTCTCCATGCGTGTTGACGCTGTGGTATATTTTCAATGTGTGTTGCCCCTGTGGGATATTTTCCGTGTGTGTTGACGCTGTGGTATATGTTCCATGTTTGTTGACGCTGTTGTACCTTTGTCGGTGTGTTTTGACGCTGTGGTATATTTCTCCATGCGTGTTGACGCTGTGGTTTATTTTCCATGTGTGTTGATACTGTGGGATATTTGTCCATGCGTGTTGACGCTGTGGAATATTTTCCATGTTTGTTGACGCTGTGGTATATGTTCCATGTTTGTTGACGCTGTTGTACCTTTGTCGGTGTGTTTTGACGCTGTGGTATATTTTCCATGTGTCTTGGCGCTTTGGTATATTTTCCATCTTTGTTGACGCTTTGGAATATTTTCCATGTTTGTTGACGCTGTGGTATATGTTCCATTTGTGTTGACGCTGTTGTTCCTTTGTCGATGTGTTTTGACGCTGTGGTATATTTCTCCATGCGTGTTGACGCTGTGGTATATTTTCAATGTGTGTTGCGCCTGTGGGATATTTTCCGTGTGTGTTGACGCTGTGGTATATTTTCAATGTGTGTTGCCCCTGAGGGATGTTTTCCGTGTGTGTTGACGCTGTGGTATATTTTCAATGTGTGTTGCCCCTGAGGGATGTTTTCCGTGTGTGTTGACGCTGTGGTATATGTTCCATGTTTGTTGACGCTGTTGTACCTTTGTCCATGTGTTTTGACGCTGTGGTATATTTCTCCATGCGTGTTGACGCTGTGGTTTATTTTCCATGTGTGTTGATACTGTGGGATATTTGTCCATGCGTGTTGACGCTGTGGTATATTTTCCATGTGTCTTGGCGCTTTGGTATATTTTCCATCTTTGTTGACGCTTTGGTATATTTTCCATGTTTGTTGACGCTGTGGTATATTTTCCATGTTTGTTGGCGCTGTAGTTCCTTTGTCGATGTGTTTTGACGCTGTGGCATATTTGTCCATGCGTGTTGACGCTGTGGTATATTTTCCATTTGTGTTGACGCTTTGGTATATTTTCCATGTTTGTTGGCGCTGTAGTTCCTTTGTCGATGTGTTTTGACGCTGTGGTATATTTCTCCATGCGTGTTGACGCTGTGGTATATGTCCCATGTTTGTTGACGCTGTTGTACCTTTGTCGATGTGTTTTGACGCTGTGGTACATTTGTCCATGCGTGTTGACGCTGTGGTATATTTTCCATGTGTCTTGACGCTTTGGTATATTTTCCATCTTTGTTGACGCTTTGGTATATTTTCCATGTTTGTTGACGCTGTAGTACCTTTGTCGATGTGTTTTGACGCTGTGGTATATTTTCCATTTGTGTTGACGCTTTGGTATATTTTCCATGTGTGTTGACGCTTTGGTATATTTTCCATGTGTGTTGACTCTGTGGTATATGTTCCATGTACGTTGACGCTGTTGTACCTTTGTCGATGTGTTTTTACGCTGTGGTATATTTGTCAATGCGTGTTGAGGCTGTGGTTTATTTTCCATGCGTGTTGACACTGTGGTATATTTGTCCATGCGTGTTGACGCTGTGGTATATTTGTCCATGCGTGTTGACGCTGTGGTATATTTGTCCATGCGTGTTGACGCTGTGGTATATTTGTCCATGCGTGTTGACGCTGTGGTATATTTGTCCATGCGTGTTGACGCTGTGGTATATTTGTCCATGCGTGTTGACGCTGTGGTATATTTGTCCATGCGTGTTGACGCTGTGGTATATTTGTCCATGCGTGTTGACGCTGTGGTATATTTGTCCATGCGTGTTGACGCTGTGGTATATTTGTCCATGCGTGGTGACGCTGTGGTATATTTGTCCATGCGTGTTGACGCTGTGGTATATTTGTCCATGCGTGTTGACGCTGTGGTTTATATTGTCATTGTGTGTTGACGCTGTGGTTTATTTTTCCAGGTGTGTTGACGTTATGGTATATGTGGCGATGTGTGTTGACGCTGTTGTATATTTGTCCATATGTGTTGACGTTATGCTCTTCGTGTGTTGACGCTGTTGTATATTTGTCCATGTGTATTTACGCTGTGGTATATGTGCCAATGTGTGTTGACGTTATGGTTTATATGTCGATGTGTGTTGACGCTGTTGTATATTTATCCATGTGTGTTGACGCTGTGACTTAAGGGCCAATGTGTGATGACGCTGTGGTCTCTTTGCTTCTCGCAAGGAAGCAAATACACCAACCACATTCTGTCTTAAGTAGACATACACGTATATCCTTCAGCCAATGATGCACGTACTTAGATGTCCTTAGCTGATAACAGGACGTTGATCAAATTCAAACCGAAACAGTTTAAGACTAAGGGAAACATATATATTGAATTTCAGAAAGATTTGACTTGGGAAATAGCGGCAACAGTATAGAACTCTCAAATTTATACGATTACGACGATGACCGTCGTATTTTTTATCAGTCCTTTGTAAACGTGCATGATAAAGGACCAAAGGAATCGATTACGTACTTCGTGTGAAACAGCAACAACAGCAATTGTTTAAGTACGGACGAAGAACGATGTTAACACCTACCGCCTGATAATGGTAAGCTAACAAAGGTATCAAGACAATTAATTCAAATTACTTGTCAATGAAATGCTTCATGACATTTTTTTCGTTTGTGAAGTCTTAATCACTATTTGTCAACTGGGAGAGAATGAATGCATGACACGATTTGATGTTGATATAAGATCCTCTAAGCTAAGGTATGGTATACAATGATAAGACACTTTTTAATGGCGTCGTCATCCGTGTACAGCGTCTTCCAATGACCTTAGCTTATGCAAAGATATTCAATCACAACTCAATAATTTCCTGCATGTATCAAGTAAGTAATTTACTGGCTTTAGAAGAACTATTGGTCTCCACCATAAAACGATCGCACCAAGTCTTAAAATTCCCTTATTTTATCTGCTGCCCGCACTTTTTCGTTTCCTATCTTTCTTCCTTTTTATCTACTTTCCCTTTCACTTATTAACTTTCTAAGCACCCGTCCTTATACGACGCTTGCTGTTGTCTCCCTAGACACCCGTCCTTATACGACGCTTGCTGTTGTCTCCCTAGGCACCCGTCCTTATACGACGCTTGCTGTTGGCTCCCTAGACACCCGTCCTTATACGACGCTTGCTGGTGTCTCCCTAGACACCCGTCCTTATACGACGCTTGCCGTTGTCTCCCTAGACACCCGTCCTTATACGACGCTTGCCGTTGTCTCCCTAGACACCCGTCCTTATACGACGCTTGCTGTTGTCTCCCTGGGCACCTGTCCTTATACGACGCTTGCTGTTGTCTCCCTAGACACCTGTCCTTATACGACACTTGCTGTTGCGAGGACGTTAAACCCCTGACAAACAAAATCTTACTGTAATTACCGTCTTAACACTTATTTGCATCGCTGTTAATTTTATTTAATAATTTAGCCTTTTTGCACTGCATACACTTTAATGAAGGTACAGTATATGATAATACTGAGGAAATTGTAGTGGAGAATTTTTTCAGACTAGAAAACAGTATTAGGATCGACAACTTTTGGAAGAGATTGATTCTATCGGTGTAATGTTTAGTATGTGAACCCTGTTTGGTACATTCGTAGTATACTTGAACATGTAATAAGACATATATAAGGATTGAATGGATTTTTTCATGTATATTGTGGCAATGAATAGCAGAAGCTGATCAACATATCCTGTGGAGCGCCTTAGCGCTCCTCAGAAGATATGTAGATCAGTTAGTGCTTCTGAGAAGATATGTAGATCAATTAGCGCTCCTCAGAAGATATGTAGATCAGTAAGCGCTTCTCAGAAGATATGTAGATCAGTAAGTGCTCCTCGGAAGATATTTAGATCAGGTAGTGCTCCTCAGAAGATATGTAGATCAGTTAGCGCACCTCGGAAGATATTTAGATCAGTTAGCGCTCCTCAGAAGATATGTGGATCAGTTAGCGCTCCTCAGAAGATATGTAGATCAGTAAGCGCTTCTCAGAAGATATGTAGATCAGTAAGTGCTCCTCGGAAGATATGTAGATCAGGTAGTGCTCCTCAGAAGATATGTAGATCAGTTAGCGCACCTCGGAAGATATTTAGATCAGTTAGCGCTCCTCAGAAGATATGTGGATCAGTTAGCGCTCCTCAGAAGATATGTAGATCAGTAAGCGCTTCTCAGAAGATATGTAGATCAGTAAGTGCTCCTCGGAAGATATGTAGATCAGTTAGTGCTGCTCAGAAGATATGTAGATCAGTTAGCGCTTCTCAGAAGATATGTAGATCAGTTAGCGCTCCTCGGAAGATATGTAGATCAGTAAGCGCTCCTCAGAAGATATGTACATCAGTTAGCGCTCCTCAGAAGATATGTAGATCAGTAAGCGCTTCTCAGAAGATATGTAGATCAGTAAGTGCTCCTCGGAAGATATGTAGATCAGTTAGTGCTGCTCAGAAGATATGTAGATCAGTTAGCGCTTCTCGGAAGATATGTAGATCAGTAAGCTCTCCTCAGAAGATATGTAGATCAGTTAGCGCTTCTCAGAAGATATGTAGATCAGTTAGCGCTCCTCAGAAGATATGTGGATCAGTTAGCGCTCCTCAGAAGATATGTAGATCAGTAAGAGCTTCTCAGAAGATATGTAGATCAGTAAGTGCTCCTCGGAAGATATGTAGATCAGTTAGTGCTGCTCAGAAGATATGTAGATCAGTTAGCGCTTCTCGGAAGATATGTAGATCAGTAAGCTCTCCTCAGAAGATATGTAGATCAGTTAGCGCACCTCAGAAGATATGTAGATCAGTTAGCGCTCCTCAGAAGACATGTAGATCAGTTAGCGCTCCTCAGAAGATATGTAGATCAGTTAGCGCGCCTCAGAAGATATGTAGATCAGTTAGCGCTCCTCAGAAGACATGTAGATCAGTTAGTGCT